TGTGTGAGTGAGGATGCTGTGTGTGTCTGGGTGCTGTGTGTGTCTGTCTGCGGGGTGCTGTGTGTGTCTGGGTGCGCTGTGTGTGTCTGGGGGTGCTGTGTGTGTCTGAGGGTGCTGTGTGGGTCTGGGTGCGCTGTGTGTGTCTGGGGGTGCAGTGTGTGTGTCTGGGGGTGCTGTGTGTCTGGGGGGTGCTGTGTCTGGGGACTGTGTCTGGGGTGCTGTGTGTCTGTGGGCCTGTGTCTGGGTGCTGTGTGTGTCTGGGGGTGCTGTGTCGGTCTGGGGGTGCAGTGTGAGTTTGGGTGCTGTGTCTGGGGGTGCTGTGTGTGTCTGGGGGGTGCTGTGTGTGTCTGGGGTGCTGTGTGTGTCTGGGTGCTGTGTGTGTCTGGGGGGTGCTGTGTGTGTCTGGGGGTGCTGTGTGTGTCTGGGGGGTGCTCTGTCTGGGTGCTGTGTGTGTGAGTGAATGTATTTTTTATTTAAATTTAAATATATTTTTTTTACTAATAAAAAAATATATATATTTCCCCCCCTCCCTTCTTACCTTTATCCTGGGAGGGGGGGGAGGAGGAGATCTGTTATGCCTGGGGGGTGGGGAGCCATGCTGCCTTCCTTCCCTGGTGGTCCAGTGGTGAGAGTGAACTCTAACCTGCAGGTTAGAGTTCACTCTTGCGAGATCAGAATCCCGCGAGAGGACCCGGCGGAGCTGCTGGTTAGAGCTCCGCCGGGTCCTTTCTCCTCCCTCCCTCACCCAGCCGGCGGCCGCATCTCCCTACCTGTGGGCCGATGAGGGAGATCTTTGATCTCCCCACCGGCCCACGGAGGCACACAGCAGGGCTGGCGCTCGGATAGCGCTGGCCCTGCAAGGGCCGGCCGGGGAGATCCCCTGCCGGCCTCTGCCCCACGGCCATCGCGGCCCACCTGGCATTTGCCCGGTATGCCTGATGGCCAGTCCGGACCTGGGCTGGGAAAGGGGCAAAAGAGACAGACAGGTGCTGGGAAAAGGGATTAAAAAGACTGACATGAACTGGAGGGGACAAAGCAACACAGAGGGACTGGGTGGAGAACGAGACAATGTGATAAAGTGAACAGACACATGGAGGGACTTGGGAGAAAAAAAGACATAGAGGGGGGAGAAGGGGAGAAAGAGACACAAATGGGCTAGAGAAGAAAGAGACACAAAAAGGGGGTGGAGTAAAAAGAGACACACAAAGGGAAAAAATAATGGGATAACATATACTAAAGGGGAGTGTAAGACAAAAGGAGGATAATATACACTAAAGGGAGTAAGACATTCAAATTCATTTATTTTTGGGAGGAAACTGTGATGGGAGGGCAAAATGTAGTGAAAAAAGTGTATACTGGTATTACTTATTATGTATTTTATTATTTGTAAACAGCAGGAGACACCAACAGATGAGTCACTAACAAGGCAGTGGGACACCAGAAAATGGCAAGGTATGTCAATAGACACAAATATCGACACACCTAAATATCCCTATACAGTGTCTCCACTAATATGGGCACCCTTAGGCAAAAAAGGCAGTTAAAAACTTTTTTTTTTACAATAATACTCTGCTCTCATGGATATCAAACACTTGCAAACACAGGATAGGTTAATCCTTTATTAAATATTGCTCATATTTACCAGTGGTGCCAAGAAACACACAAGGCCACATTTTTATAATCCACACAAAAATATTTACATCCACCCAATGAGAAAAAAAATGTTCCTTCTGTAAATCAACCACCAGTTGTGAGTATCAAGAAGTTGATACAAGGAGATGACCAAAATATGAATCATCAACAGAAGTCATGGGGCAGCAAAATAGTGAAGAGGCCGATGACAGCATCAGTGGAAAGCAACACTTGTAGGGTCTAAGAGACATTAATTTAGAGCATGGGGATGTGAATTAAAGTAGAATAATTAGTTTCCAGTGGGAATAATGGCAGGTGACCAAAGAAATCAACAGGGTACACCAACATTAACTAGCACCTTTCCACATAAGTATACAGATACATAAATATAACTCTACACACCGTCCCAAGAAACAAAGCTTCAAAACAGCCTAAATAGATCTAAAGAGACATATACATTGAACACAGGTTTAGGGCAAAAAGAACTAAACATGCCATTAGTGAGAGCTAGAATTAAAAAAAAAATTTAAAAAAAAGAAAAAAGAAAGAAAAAGCACCTCATTATTAAATGCTAAAATGATTACAAATAGTGTTAAAAACTCAGATGAAGTTTAAATAGAAACCTATAGAAGAACAATCACTCCCTAGATCTTTTATATTATGTTGTCCTATCTCATATATTGTGTGTTTGTAAGGTTTGAATACTAACGAAGCCTGCAATGCATCTTGGCTCCCTGTTTTAATAATTGGCCAATTAAAGATGGTCATCAGTACAGGCCATTTGTGAAATCGTCCTTTATACAAGGTATGAAACAAATGACATGAAGAAAAACTTTGTTAGATTTACTCAATAACAGAACAGAAACAGGAGATATGCTCAAGAATGCATGCTACATTGAAATAATCTGATTGTATTCCCCTAAATATAGTTATCTGAATCCTCCATGCTTAAATGCAACAATTACTGGCATATTTCTATAAAGGTGGAGAAGCAGATTGACAGATATGTACCACCTTAGATCATCCTCTCACCAAAATTTCCCAGAATAACAGACATGAGTTAATCACGTCTAATGCTTGATAAGAGAAGAAATCTGATTACCCATATTTAATATATGTCTAGCATAGATTACATGAGTAACTGGAACTTGCATTACTTTTTTCTTTTAGTTAAGTGGTTTACTTTCATCTGTTTGCTTGATTTATTTTATAGCATATATTTTAAGATATATCTTTTACGATAAACCTAATTCACACATATATTCCAGATACAGTGTGATTAGCTAAAATACTGGATAAAAATGCGTGATTTTGAGACAGCGTGCATGGTGGTTATGATGAAGGTTGTTTAAATAATCTGGAGTTAACCATTAAAGTATAAGCCAGATATCGGAATGTGTTACCGACCTCGCTGTCGCTGTCTAAATGGTTAAATATTTTCCCATGTCAGAATTTATAGGTGTGTGAGGACTGCCAAATTTAATTAATTGTCTTCTGCTGCTAAAATATTGTTGAGCTTTACAGCAGACATTTAAAATGTATAAACAAAAAGCACAGAGCAGACAGAATTGTTTATAGATGTGTCAAAGTACAGCCCATTTGGGAAAAGCATTAGTGTGTATCTACTGTATATCACTTGAGCTGCTTCTATATTTGAGATGAATCCAGAGATAGCTTCCATAAGAAATGAATGTGAGTAATTCAAGTTTAAATTTTTCATGTTTCTTAAAGAATGCAACTATAATTCTTCTGTCTGTTTAATTACCCTGTATGCGTAAAGAAATTATATCTCTGTAAGTTGCTACAAAAACACATACAAATATTTATTGATTCAATGAAATAATAACGGCTACATTTTATGGACTACGCTTTTACAAGATGAAACAAAGAATTGGTTTCTTTATAAGTGTATAGCTTTATTATATAAAGTATTTAAAAATATATATTTATTTGCCTTTAAAAGAACACTTCAGTCCCCTCTATCTTATTTTATAAAAGTGGTGATTTCAAGAGAAATCTGCACTTGTATAAATGGTATTAGTTCACACCCTCTTGACTGTTAATAATGGAGCCATGGGGGTTTCCCACTCACTCGCATTGAATAACCATTCATGAGTGCTTCTCAGAGAGAGTATTGGTGTCAATACCTCTTTTTGAGAAGCATTCTATTGATGGAGCATGGAAATTGCCACAGATGCACTGTATGAGAAGCATTGGATTGTCCTGTAGATCATGACTAATGAGGATCTCATTGTGGAAGGATTGAGCTGCGGCAAAAAGACAGTCTCGCTCTTGGAATTTTTTTTATCTTTATCTTCTTTTCAATATAGAGAGTCATGGGCAGTAACCCTAAACCAAGAAAAGTAAATATGAAATAATACAATGTTTGAAATAATTATATATATTTTTTTCATTCTAGGTAGTTCCTTCAATGCATGCATGAGGCTTTGGTCAACGTGAATAAACTGTTCTATTGGAAACAGAGCCATACAGAATTTGACAGCTGATATGTGAAGTTGCCTGAGGGTCCATACAGACCAATGACCTTTAAACAGTGATCCCTTGGGTTGCAGCTATAACTTACTTTTATTGAAGTATAGTTCCTCATTACACCACCTTTCCTCCAAACATTTCCATTTCCCTCATCTATCAAAGCTATTTATCTGTTGCAACAATATTAAAGAAACATACCTTCTTGATCACAAGGTCTTCTAACACCCAAAGCTACTTTAATCTTACTAGCACCTGAATATCTCAATTTACAACACTGGTGATATGCACTGGCCTCATAGCAGCTCTAATTTCAGCCTTGATGTGTTCCAGCAACTTCATGAGATATCTATTAGTGAGCCTTAGAGCTAAGGGAACATTCTACAAATGTACTCAGCATAAAGCTGCTGCAGAGCTGCCTCCCAGTGTATGGTGGAAAAGACATTTACTTTAACCTTATTGTTAGTAGGACAGATCTCTATACTGCAGTTATAGAGTTAGATATCTCGGAGCTCGGACACAGATCTCCTTGTTCTGATCAATGAGTTCTAGAACCTAAATTGTGCCCTGTCACTGCAGTGAGCATGTCTGCCATTTTATGTAAGTTGACAGTGCTTTTAAAGTTGAACATATTATAGTGAGTTTACACTATGTTGAATATAACTGGTATATCTGTTATGTCAGTGTGTAAATAACACAGAGTACCTATGAGGTAATCTCCCCTCTTATTCTTCCTTCATCTGTTATTTCATTGAATAGGATTCATACCTACTCTAGAAATTGCTATCTAGTTAAATATACCTTTTGAACACAAGTTCAACACCTGCCTCATAAATCTAATTACTCTATGTCACGAGTGACGTCCAAAAACCGGGACTCCGGGATGCCTGATGATGGTAGGAGGTACAGCGTGGAACATGAACAATCAGGGTCTGGTGCAGGGTAAGCTCGCACTCCCTGGCGTTGAGCACCAGGGTTTGTGTGGCCACATACCAAGGCCCTGATGCAGCTTCTGAGGATCCTAAGAGCTAGATATTATGCAGATATGTATCAAGTACTAGAAACAAGGTAAGACTAGAACAGGCACCAAACAAGATAACAAGACAAGACTTAAAAAAAAAACAGAACCAGAACAGGACAGAAAGTAGAACCCAGAACATGTACAAAAGACATGAGGGAAACAAGAACAGGACCTGGACAGGGCAGAACAGGACTGTACATGAATTGGGAATACAAGACAAAAATCAAACAAGACAAGAGATACAAGGCAAAACAAGAGGAGAAATAATAAAGTGATATATATGTAATAAACTTTGGAGATTTAGACATACATAAATGGCCAAGATGTATGCAGCCCACCACTGCACCAAAGTGCTCAAATTATGGTGGGTCCTAACTGCCTAGATATGCATGACTAAATAAACAACAATAAAACACACACAGCACTTACCTGCAAGGAAAGGGGCAGAGGAATGAGACCACTGCTAGCAGGGAACACTGAAACAAAAAGGCAAAGGAACGGGTGTGGCAACAAAAAACAAACATTTAAAGGAATCCAGGAGACTGGGAATTCCAGGAATGGAATAAAGGAATGAACCCAGAATGAACCCAGAAAACCCAGCATAATAAAAACCAGACATAGAATAGAACACCAGAAAAACCAAGAAAAACTAAACAAGAATTGTAAAAAGAGTACTGGATACCAGAAGCCAAGGCTGAGAAATGATCTGCAGGCAGGAACAGGATATGACACTCTATATATGCTGAAATGTATAAAGACATTTTACCATATTTTATTTTAACAGGAAATCATTGACAGTGACTCTTCCAGTATATTCTGATTTGCCATAAGGGACCTATGCACCTTTTATTTTTACAATCGCCCCTCCCAGAAATCCTATGATTGGCCACAATAAACTGAGATACCACAGACTTGGAGAGTTACTTCCTCTGTAATCCAATCATCATTATGACAACCTGAGCATCACTACATCAAGTCTTTACCCATTCTAATACTCCGTACATCATTGATACGACATGTAGGACGTGCAATCAGCAACCAATGAACTCAGAGACAGGGAGTATTTAAATTTATCCACCCCTGATGAGCTTAAGTTGAAGTGAAATGCACGTTGGTCATTCTTGCAGTTGCTGAGATGTCTGACTTAACTCTACAGCTTAATTTTGAAATAGATAAGATGTGACTGTTTTAGACAGACAGAAGGAATGCAGCGTAGCTCTCTATTATTCCTAAGCCATGGCATTTATTTTCCAAAGGTGGGATTTGTATTCAGGGGCTTTTCAATAGAAACAGTGTTCTGAAGTAGGACTCCTAGGATAAGGCTCAGACTTCAAAGGGACAGAAAGTGTACATTCTCTAGTTTTAATTATAATATACTAAGGCAGACATATTACTTTATCATAAATCTGTCCTAGTAATACATAGGTCATGCTTTTTTCCTAGTCATTAATGTGCAATACCAATGAATTTCTCTACCTGTTTGCACTTTTTGGCACATTTGCACATTTTTAGCATTATATAGTCAAATATTGTAGACCATAAAATATTGTTTTACTAAGCAAGGTTACTGCATTTATTATAGTCTACCAGAATTAAATTTAGAAGAAAAATAAATAACAATTTTGTTTCTATTTCTTGCAAATTTATCAGTGTTTATCATAGAGTTCTCCCATTATTATTTGAAACCCTCATTCACAGTAGGACAAATATTCATCCATAAAAATAATAATTAGAAGAGATCCATATCTGTATTTTTGTAAATATTTTATATTCACATATTTTAATTTTCTCTTTTTTGCTTTGTGTTCACCTTTTTCACATTTATTTATATGTTTATTTATGTATATGTGGGTTAGTTAATGCAAGATGGTAATTAGTGTTTAAAGTCAATAAAAAGTTTGAATAATTAATATTTAGTTTGCATAAAGGAATACTGTAGGCGCCAAAACAACAACAACATTAACTTAATGAAGTCGGGGTTTTTTTTCGTTTTTTTTTTTTTTTAAATCAAAAGGACTGTTTTATTGTCAATTGTCACAACAGATGAGCACAGACACAGAGCCTTGGAGTTTAGGACACAGTATTATTATAAGGCCAGAAATAAAATATATATATTGAACTTGTAGGTTTACTGAATCATGATGGCAGAGATCTCAACTTGCTAGGAATTTTCAGCGTCGGTGAAGTCAAAAACGCTACTACACACTGAGAGCAGGGAGAAAACAAGAGACAGCAAGATCCAAGTAACAGCCGACTGCTGATAGATATCTCATGGAATGGACTCCAGAACCTGCTTTATAGGTTTGTCTTCTTCTGAGATAGATTAATCTTGTCTCCCAGACTCAGAGCCATTCCCTGGCTCTTGGCTCTAATTCGTATGTGGCCGGTCACAGGGGCCTCTGGACCCAGGTGAATTGGCTTTTCAATGCTGACATTGGCAAGTGCGTCCTCTCCAAATATGCAACGAGCATAGAGGTTAGCAGCCATGAACCCACAGTACCCAGACAAAGCCTTTTCTGGGGTGAGACATTTCATATTTGTAAATTTGAGAATGTGCTGCAAATATTAATTCAGGTCGATCATGTTTTTGTTTAATAAAGTAGTTTTTGTGTTTAGATCAAGCCCCTGCAGTCTTATTGCTTAATTCTCTGCCATTTAGAAGGTCAATCTCTTTGTTTATGCAGCTTTAGCCACACCTACCTGCATGTAACATGCACAGCCTTCTTAAACACTTCCTGTAAAGAGAGATCTAATGTTTACACTTCCGTTATTGCACATTCTGTTTCTGTTTAGAAATGCTTATCTTCTGCACTATTAATATCTTGCTAGACCCTGCAGGAGCCTACTGTGTGTGATTAAAGTTCAATTTACAGAGCAGGAGATAAAAACATCTGAAGTAAGTTAACATCTCATTGAAATGAAACCATTTTTTAATGTTGGCTGAATCTTTCACAGCAAGGGGAGGTGTTACTAATGCTGCATAAAGAGAAACACAAGTGACTTAACTTCTAAATAGCAGAGAATTTAGCAGTGAGACTGCACAGGCATGGTTTTTACACAAAAACTGTGTCATTAAGCTAAAGTTACTTTGGTGCCTAAAGTATCCCTTTAATTGTGGGTCCTCTTAATGTATTGCATATTCTTTACCATCAGGAATTACCTAATCTCTATAGGATAGGATCCTTCCTATCACCCTAGCTTTGATCATCTATGTCTTGTTTTGTGAAATATATATAGTGGGGTAATACATTCTGTAGAATATAGGAGGCATCCTTACTGCCCAGTAGAGAAGCTACACGTATGTGATTATCCACTAAACTGGGAATAATTGGCAACTGGTCAAATAATGTCAAATTGTAGGGAAAAAGAGCCAAGCTTGAAAAATTCCCAATTGTCTCCAGTTTCGTGAATAATCTTGATAGAGTGAGTCTGAGCTTATTTTTAGAGTCTATACACAGATACAGAGATTTAGGAAATGGCCCACTCAGCAATATATCTCTAGATATGGCTGCACACCTATTGCAGTGACTTTGACTCCTTTACAAAAAATGCAAGAGTGGATCTGATAAGGTATGAGTTTGCATGGCATGCACCTCATGCCATACAAACACCGGGTCATAAAGGGCAAGTCATAAACTTCATAAACTTCATTTATAGCTTGTGTTTGAGCAAGGGGATGGTTTTCTTGTAAAAATTGTAGCAGTTGCAAATAACAAGGTAAAGGGAGATGGGGTAGGATAATGATACAATTACACTTATTTAGATAGCGCCAACATATTCTACAGGGCTGTACAATAGGAAAGAAGTCAAACATTCAACTGCAACAAAATATGTATGGTATACAAGAACAGTAAATGTAGGGTACCCTACTCAATCGAGCTCACAATCGAGAGTGCCATAAACTATGGAAGCAGCATACTTTTTTTTTATGTCTGTCGTATCCCTTTAAAAAAAGCTTATTTAATCTTTTCTTCTAGATGTTAACGACAGAACTTAAATTAGTCTGGAGATGAACATGTAAGAGATATTTGGATTACCTTTCAAAAAAGTTGTAATCTATCTTTCATTGTTGTTAATATGAACTCTCTGTCGACTTGAACCCGCTGATGTTTCATTAACCTTTCTCTGTAGGTAACAAAGCACGCTCTTTGTGTGGAAATTCTGTGTGAAACTGGATCTTTCCCTGCATCATATGTCGCCAGTGGCACTAAAGTATTAGTAAGTTAACCTTTTGCTTTTTATTTCAAGTGAAGGCAATTTCAGGTCATTATTCTGCATTTTAACCAAATATTTAAAGGACAGATTGTTTTGATTTCATAAATCGTTATTTTTACACGTTGTTCGTGCAATGCCAGAAAAACAAGTCATTTGTTTTGAGCGTTTGGATTATTAACCATTGCAGTCTCACTGCAATTAGTGGTGGACAATGGTGCAATAAAATAAAAATGATGTATGTATGTTAAACTTATATGCCATGAACCTGCATATAAGAACAAATAATGGATTATTGAATATAGTTTTATTGCATTAATATATGTGAAGGATGGCACAAACCAGTACCTCAATGATTAAGGCATCCTCTTATCCCCTTAAGGATCAACCTTCTGGAATAAAAGGGAATCATGACATGCATGTGTCCTTAAGGGGTTAAACTTACAAATTAAAGGGTAACTCCAAGTAACATGGCTACTTCACTTATTTGAAGTGGTCATGGTGTCTAGAGTATGTATGCCTGCAGTCATAAAGCTTCACATACAACGTTAACCTCCTTTGCTGCTAGAGATGTTACTCCACCTATGGCGATGTCATTGGGGTGCCATTCACCAGCCAGAACAAGAGTTCCAGGCTGACTAATGTGAATTTTGTGCAAATTTGGTGTCTGACACAGGCACGCCCAGACAACCAGTAATGGCATTTCACCCCTCCATGCAGCATGCCCTTCTTCACATATCTCTACCCTGATATCAGCTGAGGAGGATAGACTTTAGGGAGAACTTGACCTTGGACTTGGAGCGAAGATACATTTGAGTTATTTTCCTTCTTTCTTTTTTGGGGGGAAGAGGGGCAGCTTAAGATTGGTTAGTCTGGCCAAACATAGTATTTTCTTAAATACTGTTTTTTGGTAGGAGTAACACTTTAAGAGAGTGGTTTAGACATAGTAGATATTAGGATATCTGAAAATGTGGAAGAAATCTATAACTCTGTCTGCATTATTATTATTAGTATTATTATTGCCATTTATATAGCGCCAACAGATTCCGTAGTGCTCTACAATATTGTAAAAGGGAGAATTTAACTATAACTAGGACAATTACACGAAAACTTACAGGAACGATAGGTTGAAGAGGACTCTGCTCAAACGAGCTTACAGTCTATAGGAGGTGGGGTATAAAACACATTAAGACAGGAAATAGCAATCAAATAAGGTGGGAGTGAAGCAGAGCTGGAGGAGACAGCAAAGTGCTGCCCTATAGGAGAGAGCAAGAGACAGGTGTGTGAGGTAGAGGTTACTCTGGGTGGCCATAAGCTTTCCTAAAGAGATGGGTTTTAAGGCACTTCTTAAACCTTTGAAGACTAGGGGAGAGTCTGATGGCGGTAGGCAGGCTATTCCATAGGCCGGCAAGAAGTCCTGCATATGCAAATACATATTCCCCAAATGTTTGGTGTGGTTATAAAAATAAAATTGAAAAAAAAAAAAAAACTATCAGATCTGATCACATAACAGTGCCACTCAAAACATTTAGTGTTAGTATACAACTGTTTAAAATCTCCTCGGTAAAAGAGTTAATGTTGCATTAAACTCTATTCATTGCAGTTTTACAAACCACAATGCTTTTAAATGGATGCTTCCAAACTAAGGGTTAGGATTTAATCTTAAGGTATCATTTGCCTTATGGGTGCTTTCTCTTAGAGTTTAAGCATTTAAGATGAAGGTATCCGTTCAGGGATAAGGTAGCATTTGCTTCTCAGCCTTTGGGGTTTGAATGCTGGGGATTAGGAGTTAGGCCGTGATACATTAGAGGCAGAGTTAGGGCAAGAGTTAGGCGTTAGAGATTAGGGTTGAGGTATAGTTAGGCAGGTAAGCCTAAGGGTCAAGGTTTTGCAAGCAACCAGTGTGTGTGAGTGTATGTGAGTATATATGTGTATATAGTAGAGATTGTAGCTGTATTAATCCAGTGATGCAGATGTAAAATAACAGATACAATTCTTGGAATACCTTTTTTATTGGACTAACAGAATTTTTTAATGAAAAGCTTTCTGGAGAACCTCCCTTTCTCAAGTCTAAAGCATTCAAAGCTTTAGCGCTTTAGCCCAATAAAAAAGGTATCATTGCATACTGCAATACTTTTGTATTTTGGTATCTTGTCTTCTGGACTAATACAGCGAATCCAATCTAATATATATATATATATATATATACATATATATTCCTGTAATATCCTATGAATTTGGTGCTTTAATAATAATAATAATAATAATAATATGTAAATTACTTGTTAAATATCTCCATTTTAAAATTTAATAAGTGCAGCAGAATATGTTGGTGCGTTATTTAAATGCTAATAAAAATAATAATAATGAATATATATATTTATTCATACATATATATAGTATATAAATGTGTATTTATAAATGTATACATATGTATATAATTATTTTGTATTTTATTTTTTGCATATTTGCATGTTAGTATTTTGCTGCTGTGTGTTTTTGTTTCATTTTTTTTTTTTTTTTTGTGAGCTGCATAATATATTAGTTGCTCAAACACTGCCCCAGTGTCCATAATTTTAATTAGAGGAGTTATGTGATTCCCGAGGCTAAACTATACTCTGCAACAACTGTGCTAATGTGAAAAACAACTTGTGCAGAATAAATACGCCCTGCAATTAATGGGGTTCCGACATTTTTCATGGTTACCTTGCACATAAATAAACTATATTATTCACATTTTTCCTTAGGGTTAAGTTATCTCTGTAGTCTTAAATCTGCAAGCAGATTTGTTATAACTAACACTATCATCATAATATTGAAAACCCATTATTTCCTAAATACGTTTTCTTTTGCATCTGGATAGCTCGGGGCTGGGCCTATGTTCTGATATTGTCTGTATGATTTACAATTATGCAGTCACTTCTACATCTCCCCAAAGCCTATCATTTGGCTGAGGCTAACAGGAGGTGACTGAGCAGAGCAGTTTCACCTGAGGGTGGGCTGGGTCAAAGGTCACCTGTAATAGCTTCTACATGCATCTACAGACCTGTAAATGAGACCAGAGCTTGATACACTTCAATACACTTTCTTTGTCTTAGACGGATGCTCTAATCAAACAAATTACTTCTCCCCGTGATCACAGCCACTGATCCAGAGATTTCTGTGCAGACATTCGTCTGGAATGTTTAAAGCTTCTCAACCATACAGTATTGTTAAACAATAAAAAAAAAAGAAGAATTAAAAAAATGTGTAACTCAACCATAGGCAATTAAAAGTACGTTGTAGCTAAGCCTAATGTAGTCTGAAAACATGACATATCTGACACCTTTGACGTTATTAATTTTTCAAGAATCAGTCAAAATGAAACAAAAATAGATTTGTAGTATGCTCGCTTTTTCAATAAAGATAGCTTTATTTAAAAAAGGTTTTTTTTATTACAGATCTAAAAAAAACTTTTTTAGTTGATTATATGAAACACTTTTTTTTTCTAAAGTTATTTCTATGAGCTAATTTTTTTTCCATGTTTATGCATGCAGGTGAGAACATTACGGTAAAAGGTTGAAATCAACGATATACATTTTAAGAGTACACAGCAACATTGTAGCGTGTAAGTGTTAGGCAGATTCAGTGCCTGACAAAAACTGTTGAACTGTAAATAATGGTCATGGTTTCTCCTCCCACTACCGCATGAGTAAGCATCGGGCTTCCAAAAGACGGCTACCAAAATCAACAGAACCAAAAATGACATGTATCATGTTCCTTTTTAATGTCTCTGTTAGTTAATGAACCACAGCACACATGGTTTTTCTGTGCTGTCTTTTCCACACTCACAAACCTCAGGTAACAGGAAGATAAACTCCAATGTGTTTATTTACTTAATACCGATAGGTGAGCTGGGCAAAATTTCCAACCCCAAAAAACGTGCAAAATTTGGTTCCTGAGGTAATTCTTATGGAAAATCTTAAATCCACTAGTTACATTTGCTAAGTAAAAAAAAAATCACAAACCTATGTAAAACATGTGGCAATGCTGTTTTATTAATAATTCGAAATGAAAAATATGAAATAATGTAGCTACCACCCCATGGAAATGCTAGTCAAGGAACACAAGAAAGATGCCTCTAAAAAAAATGCATGCATCTTTCTATACACTTAGAATGTACCTTTTAAAATGATTCAAATGGCATTGAGGTGGGGGGGAATTAACAGTGACAATATCAAGCCAGGAATTTTAGGACAAGTGTGGAAACACGACTTCATGCTGATGGAACCCAAACTTTAAGAGCTATTCCGTCTCTGAAGAAGTGGGGCTGCCACGAAACCCGTTAGACTAAGACTAATCAAGCAGGATACGGATGAAGTCTTTGATCCAACAGTAGGAGCCTTATCTCTACCGGAAATTTCCCACGATCTGGGGACCGATTGGCCCGCAGCGTCCATCTCTCAGAGTGAGGTCTGAGACGCACGCTAACCTCACTGGCAGCTGACAGCTAGAGAGATTGTTTTGTTACAAACTATCCGCATCAATCCTAGCCAGTCCCTGTGGATAATTCAGAATACGGACTACTATTCTGCTGATAATATTCTTGCATACCGTTCCTGGCTTGTATTTTTAGTATTTTTAATATATTTTGTTAATAAACTGGTTGTTACTTTTACCCACTTTTTTCTATCCATTTCTTTTAAGTGGTTTTTTTTAGTGATACCTATTTTATATTGCATTATAGAAAACAGTTCTATATACTGTATTTCTATTCTGTGTGGTTTATATCTTTTTCTACAAAGTATAATATTTGGTGTATATTTCATTTATTCTGCCCTTAGCAGATTTAAAGACATACACACTACACACACTTGCTGCACCTTCTTCCTGAATTGCATGATCTATCTTATTAGTTTTATTATTGGCACTATCACATTTTAATCCTAATTTTACTATAACCCTAGTACTAGTGACATCATATTCAAAAGCCATTTTGGTTAACCAGCTCCTGGAACAACTACACCACGCTTAGGGTGTTATTCCCTCTACTATATTTCTTTGGACAGGTTTTTGGTGAATTCCTGTCTGTATCCAGTTCTAAGCAATATACCACAAGCCCGACTCCCTCATCCCTGTGTGTTCCAATAGGCATACCAGATTAATATACAACCAAATATACAAAGCCTCCTCCATGAGTCGATACAATTTTGCAATCAATTCTATTAGATGGAATCTTGGGATACAATGAAAAGTTCCAATTTTTGTATAAACCCGTGCTTGTGATGCCTACTATGCATTATAAAACTCGCTATAAAATGTGCTCCAACATTTAAAAAGTAAACTGGTCTCGGATGTACAATGGAAGCCAAAATACAGATGCAAGAAGTGAATAAACAAAATGTGTCTTGGGATCTCTGAACTCTCTGTATGTCAAAAAAGTAATATGATACTTAGCATGCATCACCAGAAGAATGTGTATTACAGTCATCTTCAAGCAACTCATTTGTGTTATTTGAGAACAGTGAACCCTGAGTGGTGAATTCAACCCATTAATTTGTAGATCAAGATGCATGTTTTACGGTTGTAATAAAATACTGATAAAATGTTAGATGTCTAGTTACATGTCACTATGGTCACTAGAAATATAAGAATGGGTAAAAAGTAATGAAATTGCTGGGTGGTCAGAATGAAAATCTTTGTTTCTCAGCTATACACACTGTACACGTAAGCTATTGGTTGTACAGGGTTTATGTTGTTTTTACTTATATCTGCTTGGACTCAAATTATAAATTTAGTTTGTGGTGAAAGTTTCCATATGGTCCTGAGCTTACTATGAAAATAAATTAATGTTGTTATTAGAACAAAGTAAGTCATCTGCACTACATGTTGTCATGTTCCTTGTTTAAGTATAACAATTGTGACTCTATAAATGTATAAAGCTTCAACTTAGTTCATAGTCCTACATAATAAGACAAAATAAAAAACACATTTAGACAAAAGACCTTATTAAAACTGTACCTATGGTGTAAAGGAAGAGGACGTTTGTAGATACACAACATATCAAGTATAATGTATGCAGATAAAAAAGTTACAGTTAGTACAACTGTAAAGTGTAATTGTGTTAAAATATATATTAAATAACATACAGTAGTGGTAGAATAAGTTGGGAAAACAAAGCTTTTTGGGGGGAAAACAGTGCCTTTAAGGGTAGTTGCATGACCACATACTCCAATCATAACAGCAGCAAATCTGTACAATAAATGTATTTAGAATAAAAGATGCACATATAAAAGCTAACAAAAACATGTGTCTCTTATATCGTGAATACATTTGTCATACTAATAACAACTGGACACAAAGCTTATAGTGTTGATTAATTTGACCTGAATGGAAAATGTCAAACGAAGACTGGTGCTCCAAAAAAAAAAATGAATATGTTCTGATTGGGAGAGAATTATATCAAGTACATTTTTATTTTCACTATCTACGAGTGAAAGATAAAACCTGTGGGGAAGAAAGTTATGTCCGAGTATCATCGCATACTGGTAATACTGAAATCCTAAGAAAGCTATTATCTTGCTATAAAGATAGTACAACATGTTAATACAATGAAACTTAGAACTAAATATTGGTGTACTCTAACTAAGAAGGAGGAGATGCTTGAAAATGAAAAGCTGAAATAAGATGTGGACAAGTAAGATGAGAACCAGGAAAGAGTCATGGAAGTTAAGGTTAAAAAGATGGAAAAAAAAGTGTCTTCATCGGTGTCAAGAATCTGTGGAAAGGTCAATAACTACAAGAGATCTGTGACATTAGTTTTTATAAGAGATTAAAACATTTGTGTCGGTTAAAGCAGTAGCGTGCAGAGAGCAAAAACCAGGCTGAGCATTGTTAGGTAGATATCTGGAGAGAGAAAAGTCAACCAGTCTAGTATACATCTGCAGCTTAATAATATATTACTAAAATCAAGCTTTTTGTTGCTTTACTTGTCCAGTTTTAATGTTATTGGTGTAAATAGATAGAATTTCTACCTAGATAAAGACAGTGACTATATTAAATCAATGGACAAAGCTTATTATAATTCAGATTATGTCTTATTTCTTAGCCTTTCGAAAAGAAGGACCATAATGTTACATAATGCCTTCATTTACACAATTCCTTGCAAAGTGGACACACACACAAACACATATGTTCAACATCACAATAAATAAAAGTATTTAGCTCCCATTTAAAGATGATTAAAGTGCACTTTTAAATAGTTATATAACATCCATTATTTATTCACCCCTGAGCAGCGGGTAGGGGCCCTGAAGTAAAAAAAAGGTGGGAGGACCTATTGTCCTACCCCACCCCCCCATCCCCACCCCCGAGCGGCGGGTGGGGCCCCTAAAGTAAAATAATGGGGGGGGAACCTATTGACCTCCCCCCCAGCCCCCTCCCCTGAGCAGCGGGTGGAGGCCCTAAATTATTGCGTCAGTTATTATGAATACGTGCGTCAGTTATTATGAATTTTTATTTGGCCTTTTGTGGGGCTGAAAAAATAAGATTTTAGATATAAGAAAATATCAAATGGTAAGTTTTATTAGGTCCCTTCCCCCTAATTGGTATTTAGGGCCCCCACCCACTGCTCAGGGGGGGGGCCAGGGGGGAGGACATTAGGTCCCCCCCCAATTTTTATTTAGGGCCCCCACCCACCGCTCATTGGGCCCCCCCCAATTTTTATTTAGGGCCTCCACCCACCGCTCAGGGGGTAGGACATTAGGTCCCCCCCTTATTCTAATTTAGGGCCCCCACCCGCTGCTCGGGGTGGGGGCCAGTGGGGAGGACAATAGGTCCCCCCTTATTCTAATTTAGGGCCCCCACCCGCCGCTCAAGGGTGGGTGTTGGGGGGAGGACAATATGTCCCCCCCTTATTAGTATTTAGGGCCCCCACCTGCCGCTCAGGGGTGGGGGCCGGACAATAGGTTCCCCCCCCCCATTATTTTACTTTAGGGCCCCCATCCGCCGCTCGGTGCTCACTGTTTAATAGACATGCCCCTACTCGCGGTTTAATAGGCTGCTCACTGTTTAATAGACATGCCACTACTTGCGGTATAGCGAGTAGGGGCATAATTTACTAATACTAAGTAATCTTTACTTAGTATTAGTAAATTTGGCTGAAAGACCAATTCAGGTCTTTCAGCCTTTTAGTAGATAGTTCTCTAATACCATGGGAATTAGGGAGTTATCTACTTATTCATTCCTGTCATTACATTGACTGGCCAAGTAACTTACATTTTATATGAATGTGTGTTACTTGATTGTTGTAAGTGTTGCAAATGCTTACAGCTGAATCCTGGCTATGTTTGCATACTTTTTATTTAAAATTGTATACAGTGTAACATTCTTCTTCTTCCACTGGGTAAGTATATTAGTACATAGGCAATACATTTTACTTCCTTTTGCAACCCTCTAGCCCTTTCCAGGACTTTTTTAGAGCCATTTTAGTGCCCAAAAGTTCAGGTCCCCATTGACTTCAATGGGGTTGGGGTTCGGAGTCAAGTTCGGGTCAAGTTCGAGTCCTGAACTCGAACATTTGCCGAAGTTCGGCCGAACCTGGCGAACCCAAACATCCAGGTGTCCGCTCAACTCTAACCATGAATAACAATCTGTGTGATAAACAGATTAATACAATTATAATAATACTTTATAAAACTATGGCCTTGATTTAATTATTTTGGATAAGCTTTTCAAATGGTCACTATTAGTTAGAAAAACTTTTAAAATTATTTATTTGTAGAAGTCTATGGGAATCTTTGTAGATAAATAATTTTAAAATATTTTCTAACAGATTGTGGTCCAGAAGAACGCAATCATGGCCTATGTTAGCACAATATTCTGGTGACAAAATTGAATTTATTATGAAGCATTATTATATTGCAACATCTAGAATATCTATTAAATATTAGATTAACAATTTTGTTATCCAGAAGTAAGTGTTATCTGTTAAAAAGACTGATAGTTTTGATTTAAATCAGGGACTTTTCAAACTTACATGAGGTACGTTTGGGGATCCTGGAATCCTCACATTCATATATTGAACAATTTTATGAAGAACTATACTAGCTTAGTTTTTCATAAAATTGTTCTATACAGGATCACAAACTGATCGAATAGCCCTGCACAGTGCCCTCCTTTACTTTGGCACGTGACGTGTGTTACTGTAACTAAATGTAACTGCATGGAATAGCTTCCACCTAAATATACGTACCTCCATCTAAATAGATGTGCCATCCAAACCCTGCTAGTACATGGGCTCCTGGAATTATTCGTTTTATTCCTTCAAGCGGAAGCTAGATAAATTTACTGCCATATGTAGTGCTCAAAGCACCTGCATTGGAAATCCTCAGTGCTCTATGGTAGAAAATATATGGTTCATCCCAATTACGTGACTCTGACACACAATATGGAAGTATCTCAAAAATGGCACCTACAGTGGCTCAATGGGTTAGTTTGTGTCGTGATTTTGTGTTCTGCAGTGGCAACAAAAAAAGAGGTCATTGAAGGTTAAAGGACAGCCACTAAATTAAATAATAGATAAATAATTCATAAATATATAAACCAGGGATCATCAGGACTGAA